ACAATAATAATAATAATAATAAATGAGAGATAAGGATAGAAGAGAAAATGGATCTGTCAAATACTGCTGAAAAGCAGTAAAGAAAATAAAAAATTGAAACTACAGTCACAGCAGTGAGCAATGTGGAATAAACAGAAGCTGCAAAACATACAAATTCTGGAAAGAGACTATGGCTACAACACAGACATGGACAACACGCTCAACAACATAAAAAAGAGAAGGGGAAAAATCATAACCCATAAAAATAAAACAAACAAACAAAAAAATTGGAAAAGAACAAGAACAACAAAAGTAAATCCAGGAAAGAATTATTTTAAGCATTGCTGAAAACAGTAACAAGACCTTACCTGATCGTAATTGCTTAATGCGCCCATTGTTGTTGCTTGTATCTACAGGTAAAAAATCTTTGAACCATGTTATTTCTGGATCAGGATTGCCACTGGCTGCACATAACATGGTGGCTGTTCGAGTGCGTTCAACCACCTTTAACTGTGGTCCCATATCAATGGTGGGAAAACCACGTGGAATTTGATCCTCTGAAAAGGAAACAGCATGTGGTTTATATATTTTTTCTTATGAACTTCATCTCTTTTACAGATGCATTTCAGATTCAGTGTGTTCCAGGGCTGTTTTCACCAAATTTTCAAGTTTTTTTTTTTTTTTAATTTAGTAGAACTGCACTAAACCATGAACCAAAATAATTTATACTTCAGCTCTAATTCTATTCTTCTCAATCTGGTGGCACCCTGATTTGTTGGACAGAATTTCCATACACCCCTAGGAAAGACAGTTTTAAAGTTTTCAGAATTTCTATTTCACAAGGAATTGTGGTTGGTTTAAAGATATAAATGATCACTTCCTGTGACAGGTGAAAGGAGGGGGAAAATGGAAGTACTGTACGCAAACCGAAACTTATGCAGATTTGCTGGATGGCAAAAATAACTTGGTTTCTCATAAGCAGTTAAAGATACTAAGCTATGTGCCCTTTCAAGGAAGACAGGTTCCCTGAACATAGTGAAACTTACTTGTGATAAAGCATGTATGAGATTATGCTGTTGGTGGCTTAATTTTTTTTTAAGTACTTCCCATTCCATTAACTGAAACCTTTGTTGGATCAAAGCATATTTTATCTGCAGACATCAGTTAAACAATAGCTTTTGTTATTTTCATATAAATCAGATTCTAATGTATTTAGCCAGCCCTCCCTAACCCCTTTGACTCCTTATCGGCACATTTTCAGTACAACAGTATTCGTACATTTGCAGTTTCCGAACAAGCATGCACAGGACTGTAACTTTAGTTTCATAAACTAAAATCCTATGTGTCTACCAGAATTTCTGTTTTTCCCTGTTTAAATTCCACAGCAAACACCAATTGCATCTTTGGTGCTTTTCAAATCATTTCCACTTTCAAAACAGATCATATGTGGTGTTGTTGACTCACGTACACAAGGCCAGAAATCTCTCAGGAGTATAAACTAATAATGAGAATCTCTGATCCAGAGCTTTATCTGATTTAACAAGTGTGACAAGAATAAGGGGGGGGGGGAACCAAAAATCAAATCAAAACAGAAATATTCAGATATGCAGAAATGTTACAATCATAATCTAAAAATCACATTTAGTAATTTCTCACTGCTTACAGAGGCCTTATTAATTTTTATTTCAAACACACTGATTTTTCTCAAAAAGAAAAAGGGAGCAGGAAAAAAGATAAATAACTACCATAGATTATGCACTATTTTATTAAATACCTTGTTTGACTAGTATTGAGATGTAGTTTTTTAAGGAATGAAAGTAATCGTTTACAATTTTTCCAGTATCAATAAATCTGCTATAAAATGGCGTAAAGTTTCCACATATTTCTAGAAAAGCTTTCACAGGCATTTGAAAAAGTTAAGAGTGATAGCCTGGGATATCTGACAAATGTTTGCATTTCTTGATAACTTCTTTCTGTTCTTTCCATACCTAGGGCTATGGAATCACTGACAATACGACTGTATATATTGCTATAGCAGAATGGTATTTCCACTTTTTACAAGTGTGAGTTTACTTATCTTTACCAAAATGCAAGCTGACATCCTTATTCCATTTCCTATTGGCTCTTGCCAAAGAAACCTACATTTAATAACAATTTATAAGATCTGAAGTCTTCACCTTGAGAATTACTGATAAGATTTGACTTATGCCATGTTGAGGTAGCACTCTAAGGCATTTGTGTGACCTTTCCTTTTCCTGTTTCATTTACGAAGAATACACTTGAGCCCCCATTTTCTTATAAACATTCACACAACAAAGATAGTATGTCTTGTGTACTAATAGGATAAAGAATGAAAAAGAATTTCCGTTTCTTATTTTTAACATGGGCAATTAAATTCAATCCAACCCTCTTATGCAAAAACTCTCTCTGCGTACACATTCCTCATTAAATTTCCATGAGGAACATTAAAATGTAGCAGATTGAAATAGTCAGAGTTGTTATACTTTGACAGTTGTGGCTTGTTTCCAATCTGGCTGTCAGGTATTTGGCAATAAAACCTAGTATTCAGCATAAAATGGACTGGAAGAAATAATGAAATTTGTAACAGCACCGCTTATCTCAGTGGGTATAAGTTTATTTGACATTAATTGCTTTCTGTTCTACTTTAAATGTATTAATTGTTTCTATAAAACTTTTTCCAGTTTGATGGCACAATGTTTAACAGCGTATCAGACAACATTGAATAATCACATCAATCAGCAATTATTTTTCAGCAACAACCTCTTTTAGAAAGCATAAAAAGTATTATTAATCGATACAGTAATAACTTTAAATTTCAACACCAAATGACAAACATTTTGCCTTGTTCATTAGCATGCACATTAATATAATCATCAGGATTTTAAGCACAATGTTCACTAGTTTTCATTTTATTATTCAGTTGTGCTCAATTAGCTAGTTCTTCATCAGTATTTTAAATCAGGCCTGACTTTCCCACCTTTGTCATATATTGTCAGGCAAACAGGCCAGATTATGTCCTTGTACTGAGCAAGGCTTACAAGGAAATGCACACTTACAAATATGTTGATTATGGTAATTACAGGAAACCTGATCATATCACAGTTTCTTAGCATTCATGAAGAATTTTAGTATCAATTGTGTTTTGCTGCTAAATTTCTTATTCTTGTCTGGCATTTATTCCACATGATTTTACTACCCATTAACTTAAAGAGTTTTGAGGATGGTTTTTACACCAGACAATTATATTAGAAAGCTAGCAATATAGTGTTACTGCATTTTTAGTGGGAAAATACAGCAACTGTGTTGCCTAATTTCAGGCAAAGCTTTATTCTCTTCATTATCAAAAGGCCACTGAAAGCACATGATTCAGACAAAGCATGTTTTATATTTTTACAGATTAATGCACCTAGCAGTTCTTTAATTGTCGTGTGTGTCTGTGTGTGTATACACACACACACACAGACACACACACATATAAATACACATACACACAATAATAATAATTTTACAACCTAATAGGTAAAGTATTATTAGAAAAGTAATTTTACAACCTAATATGTAAAGTAATATTAGACATATGGCCTATAATTCAATCAACAAAGAAAAAAATATCCAGCATGAAATATTATTTCTGTTAAGCCTAACTTCTGACCACATAAAACTTCAGGTGAAGTAACTGAGTGCTAACTGTGAAATTTGCTGCCTTTGACAGAGCAAGAATTTGGTGTGGGAGTGTGCTGCTGAATTTCAGACGTTAACCTAGATGTGAGCTGGAATAAAAGAGGTGTAATTGACTAATTAAAAAAGTTGGTATTAGATGAAATAAACTTTTATTTATTCATCAAAACACCCAGAAATTCTGTCAGCTAAATCTGGATCTGTTTGGGTATTGATGGAAGATTCAAGGAAACGTAGAAGACTATGCTTCCCTCCCTCCAGAAGGAATGAAGTTGTCTTGAGAAGCTGAAGCCATGTAGCTGGGAGCTAGCAGAATTCTAGTCTGTCCAAGAAAGGTTGTGACAACGTACACAAGACTTTTGTATCGCAGACACTTTGCTAATGCCCTCTAAAGCATCAACATAGTGTTGTATTTATGGAAAAGGGGCATTTTGCAAGCTGATGCTGTAAACATTCCAGATCTGGCTTCTTAGGAAATAAGGAAGACCAGCAACTAAATGGAACACAGTCATATGGTAGTGTTGGTGGTTCTACCAGAAGACTAGCAAGAAAGAATTGGAGAGTGGTATGTACCTCTTTCCCTTCGGTACATGGTACACAGAACTTCATATTCCCACATAATGGTTGAGTTTGTAGTGCACATTTAAGCAAGCATTTATTTTTATATTCATTCATTCATTCATTCCTTCATTCCTTCATTCCTTCCTTCCTTCCTTCCTTCCTTCATTCATTCATTCATTCATTCATCATATTTGTATGGCAGAGCATGACTCTGAGCAGCGTGCAATGGTCAAT